AAGAACTAAATTTCAATAGTTTATATCAGAATTTATTTCCATGTCCTTATAATATGTCGATTGAATTAAGCAAGCTTAAAAGATATTTTTTTCTTTTTACAGATGCTTTTCTTGACTTCAGTCCATAAAATCTTAATAGAATTGAAATTTGAACTTTGAGTAGACTATGGAAGTACGTAAAGAAAGTAATAAGTTTCTTAAATTATTCATAAGTATATCAAATACATTAATACTTAGAAGATCATCATTATTATTTTCAATATTTTAAATAATAAACTAAACTTATTTGTAGCTAAAATATATACATAATTCAATATTAGCATTTAAACCCTCTCTAATTTTAACTTATTTATCTTCTATATTATGTTATTAATATTATTACCTCTATATTAGTATGCATTATTTTTGAAAATGTTATCAAGACTATAATAATCTATGACTCTAAATACATGAGGTTTTATTATGATATTTAGATTTTTTCAATACAAACTTCTAAATATTTTTATTTATTGTGTAAAAAAAATTTTATCAATTAATTACTTTATTAATATATTATAATAAAGAAGAATCAGTATTATGATAAAAAAAATTATTATGATTTTATTAGTGTAAACTGGATTTCTGAACCTTTAAATAACAAACAAATTTCCTTTTCCTTAAAAAATTCTCCTTTTTAGGCAATTTGTATAATGTTAACGATCAGCCATTATTATATATCTTATTATATTTAATACTAACACTAACACTAAAAGATAGAGGATAAGGTAAAAATAAAGGTAAAGAAAGAATCTATCTCAAAAATAAAGGTTATTTAATTTTTTTTTAAAAAAAAGATTTAGATCAATCAGTCTGTCATAGCAGCATAGTCAGATGTATGATAAAATTATTTTTAATGTTATTTTTTTCTAATATTATATATTATCTAAATAATAAATTAATTAATTCATAATTATTAATTAATAATTATTTATTTATTTTTTGTTATTGATTATATCAGTAGATTCATTACTTTGGTTTCTTATGGTAGCATATTAAGTTTAGAAAAATTTTCCTATTTTTTGATTATTAATCAAATCTAATGGCTTTTTTTTCAATTTTGGTTAGGACTAACTCTAATAATTCAGACTTAGACAAATATGAATACTGCACCTTTTAGCTCATCATGATAGTGCAATTAAATACGTATAATGATTTGAACATTTTTTTGCATTGATTAGAATTATTAATTCATTTTTATTTTTTATTATATTTTTAATAAAAATAAATAGATCACAAAGAAAAAATAATAAAAAATATATATATAAAAAATAGATTGTAAAGGGAGTTAAAAATGATAAAAAAAATTAAAAAAATATATCACGAGGGGGGTAAAAAATTAAAAAAAAAAATATATCAGGAGAATGGAATAAAAAATTTATAAAAAAAAATAGTTTAATGAAAGGTTAGAAAAACTTTATATTTCTATATTTAAGAGTTTAACACTTTAACGTAAATAATTAAGTAAACTTAGAATTTATATTATCATGAAAACTAATATAACAGTTATAGATCATATACCTAACTATTAATAAAATTTTAATTAAACATAATCAAAATCTGAATAAAGTTAAAAATTATCTTAGAAAAATCTTATACAGAGAAAAAATTGAAGTATATTAGTTTAGTATTCCATAAAAATGTTATGCATATTCATACTTAAAATTATCAATATTTATAGGATTCAAAAAGAAGAATATTAATATCAAAATACAATTATTTAAAAAAAATTTTATATTTTTATTATCAGGACTTCAAACTCATACATATATAGGAATTGTATGTTCAAGTCTACTATTAGATTTTACTGAATACTTGCTGTTTTATTAAAATAATTAAAAAATTTATTAGTTAAAAATTTTCAAAATAATATTTAGTGTTAATAATTGTTATTAAGGCTAATGTGAAATTCCATTTAATTTAACTATAAATAAAATTAATCAATTTATACAATTTATCATTAATTACATATCTTTTACTAAAAAAAAATATCTTTATTATTCTATTTTAAAGAAATAATTATAATTATAAGTTTATTGACTGACCAATTCTAGCTGCTTGTCTTTTGTATTTCATAAGATACTATTTAAAATCTGAAGCTTATTTCTAATTATCACACATATTCTGAATGATATTAAAAATTCTGATTAATAAACTGAGTTTGATCAAAAAATTTATTAAGTAAAAAATGCTGCATCATAGTTATTTATGTAACAAATATAGTTAAAGTTAGAGAATTATAAAGCTCTTGATTAAAATAAATCAAAGTTCATATTAGGATTAGGATTATTAATTAGGATTAATAAGTTAAAATATATTTATTTTCTTCAATTAAATTGCTGGTTATATTTTATAGATTTTTTTATATTTTATAATTTTGAAAGGATGTTACAAAATCAAATATACTTTTATATAATTTTTGCAAAAGTTATACAAAGTGGTTTTGAATATTTAATACTTTGCAAATCAATTTATACAATCATTTTCTTAATATAAAAGTTTTATTTTGTCATCCTTCTCAGTAATTTGTAAGACCTGAACCTATATTTGATCTATAAAATACAACATACTTATTTAGAATTCAATTTTTTTCATTACTCTTACAGTGTATTTAGAATTAAAATCATTGTTCGCAAAAAAAATATAATGTTAAACCTAATAATTTTTAAAATTGTAAGGTTTTCAGCTTAATAGATTATAACTACTGATTTATTTTTTAATAATTTAGAAATCATAATAGTTTATCAGATAATAGATAAAACACTTTAGCTTCAAACTCATCTCTACTAGCATGATAAAGAAAATTAAATAAATAAGAAATATTCTTAATATTGTATAAAAATTTGCAATTATGGGTAAATATACTTTACTAATAAGAGCAGAATTAAAAGATATTTTATGTTTTAAGGTATTTTGCAATGTATTCAGATCCAAATAATATCTAATTATATTTTATAAAGATTTTTCAGGAATATTAATTCAAATAGATAACTTTTTGTACAAAATTTTCTTGAGTAATTTAAAACCATCTAACATGTGAGATAAAGTCATAAAGGTTTTTTCTAACTTTAAAATAATTTGATATCCATAAAGATACTTTATCAGATTAGATATTTTATTACTATCCAATTTAAAAAAAATAATAATTTTAACTTCTTCTATTTCAAGACTTAAAAAGGATATATCACAACTAAATATTAAGAAAACAGTACAATAGTTATACCTAATAATAATAAAGTCACTGTATACTAATCTAATCTAATTATTTATATAAACATGAACAGATTAATTTTCTGATATTATATGTAATATAACTGATAAACAATAAATGGTTCAATAAACATTTTTGTATAAAATATTAAACAAAAATCATATTATCATGTAATATAATTATACTGTAGAATTATCAATAAATTATAGGAGGGATGATGTTAAATGAACTTTTAAATTGGTAAGGCCTAATCAAAAAAATAAAAACTATCACAAATTACATATTAAAACTGTATCAATATAGTATAAAATATTTTTGCATGAAAGTTTATTGAATTTCAATAAATGAAAAATTAATACAAAAAAAGAAAGATATAAAAAGAATAAAAGAAATGATAAGAAAAAAATAATTTAATGGAGTGATAATAATAAAAACTAAATAAAATAAGGTATGCATGCTTATGAAGCATTAAATTTCTTAATATATGTTGAAACCGGCAAAAATTGATGAACCTATCAAATATGCCAAATATGCCAGATCTGTCAGATCTGTCAAATCTGCTATATCTGCCAAATAGAACACATATATTATTTATTATATTTTTATTATTTGTATCATTATTATCATTTATAACATATTTTACATAATTAGCATATCTGTTAGCTCTGTTATTATTGTCAGTAGTATCATAAATATCATAGATTTTCTTAATTGTAATTTCCTATATAAAGGGTATGAAAATGCCTTGGAAAAAGGACAGATTCCAACAGATTCCTACAAGTTCTTAACATTGTATTCAAAATACATTTAATAACAATAATAAACACTCTTAACATTTTGCAAACATAAAACTTATAATTTATTTCTTGTTAACTAAATAAACTCTAATAAACAGCGTGTCAAGTTGATTGGATTTAAGTCATAGCTATTGCTTCTCTGACTTCAAATCATAGTTAACTTATTCAACGGAAAGAGTAACATGTACAACATACAGGACAAAAGTATCTGGACAATTGTGAGGTTGCACAAATTTAACTATTTATTACTAATCTTTAAATAATAATAGTATACTAATACTATGTGAAGTCAATCTTATTGCATCATAAAGATTAACAAATGATCAACATTATTAATATTATTAGCATTTTTTACTTAGTTAACATTTTCATTTTATTTATTTTACTCTTATATTTTATTATTATTTATTTATTATTGTTAACATTATTAAATTATAAATTATCTTTTATATTTATCTTAATATTATAAAATAATTTAACATTAAATAGTAATTTTTTATAATTATATTTTTATATAAATAGGATAGAAATTTGTCCTTGCAAAAGAGCAAAAATAACAGTAATAATTCAATAGTTTGAGTTTAAGACTTAGAATCCAAGGTTAAGAATTGTTAAGAATAAAAATCTCTATAATAAAGAAATCTCTTTCTAAACTACACATATTAAAACCCTTTAATGTGTCAATTGTATTTATTATATTTTCAAGTTGTTAAAGTTATTTCACTTGTCTAAAGTATAAACTTAAGGTTAATCATAATAGGATTTATTCTACTATAACTTAGTAGTTTCTTATACATTACTTCTTGTTATTAAGTTATAGTTTGACAGGCTGAGCATAAGGTTAACAATACCTAATTTTTAACCAAATTCATTATTCTTTTTTTTTTAAAATCCTATGTCTTCGCTCTTTTAAATAATAAAAATTTTTTTATAAATAATTATTTTATTATATAAAAATGTCAAAAACCTGTAAGCTTATACCTTTTAAGCATAGAGAAATTGTAAGTTTATTAAAAGGTAGACATAGTATAAGAAACATCTCAGAAATTCTTGGCAAACCAAAATCTACTGTCCATAATGTAATTATGAAATACAATAAAGAATACTGCATTAATACTGCATTTAGAAGTGGTAGACCTCCAGCTTTATCAGAACAAAATAAACGTCAAACTAAGAAGAATAGTCTGATGAAACTGCAAACAAGCTGTGAAAGAATTACTAAACAATTTAATTAGGATCTTAATATTTCATTAAGTAGTAAAACTATTAAGTAAGTATTACATTCTATAGGTTATTATCGATGTACTGGTAAAAAAAAACCTTTAGTTTCTGATGTAAATAAAAAAATATTTACTTTAGTATCATTTTAGAAAAAGTTGGTAAGATGAATGGAATTTTATAATTTTAGTAATGAATCTCATTTTGAATTATTTAGAAATGATGCTAATCAATAGATTTAATGTAATATTTATGAGGTATATGCAAAAGATTGTTTAATTCTAATAGTTTAAAAATCAGAAGGAGTTATAGTTTGGGATGTTAAAATAGGATTATTAGTACTAATTGAGGGAAAATTAAATGATGAAAAATATATAAAATTACTTAAATGTTATCTTTTACCTTTTCTTAATAAACTTAGATCTAATAGCCATACTTTTCAAGATGATAATGTCTCAACACATATAGTATAATTCACAAAGAGTTGAAAAAAAGAAAATTTACATCAATCACTTCCTTGGCCAGCACAGAGCCCTGACTTCAATCTAATTGAGAATTTGTAAGATATTTTAAAAAGAAAAGTCAGAATGCATAGTCTTAAACCAAAAAATAATTCAGAATTTTTAGCTGTTCTTAAAGAAGAATGGTATCAAATTGAATCTGAAAGATTATTAAGTTAGTTGAAAATATATTTTATAAAATTAAGGCTGTAATAAAAAGTAAGATGTATTCTATGTCATATTAATATTATTTGAGATTAATATAAGCTAATGAATAGTTAAAATTTATGTGTTTTTACTAAAGATTATAATATTGTAATATAGCTAAAAATTTCTTTAAAATTTTTCAGTTTTTTTTATATTATTTTATAACTATTTAATAAAATTTTATAAAAAAATTTATAATTATTTATTTTAATATAATAAAAAAGGTTACTTAGCAATAATAATTATGTTAAGACCAAACATTTTAATATTATACTATAATTAAAGTTTTTATTAATAAATGTATTATTTTAAAATAAATTTTAAATTATTATAGTTTGACTAATTTTTATTTAAATTAAAATTTTTATATATTACATGATATATGGGAAGCAGTCAATAAAAAAAGGGAAAATCTACAAATTTTGAGTAATTTTAGTTATTAAGCTTGTTTTATTCACATGATTATAATTAGCAGAGTGAACCAATAAAAAAATTTTTAACTAAAAAGTGGATTTTTCCTTTTCTACTGGCTATCTCTATATTATGATGAATAACTTTACTTATAAAACTGAAGTTACATTTATTAATAAAAAAATAAGTTTACTTATAGCCAACTTTATCCAATTAATTTAATAATTTGTATAGTTTTCAAATACTTTTATCCTGTGTATATAAATATTCTTTTAAATATTTATATATTATTTAACTAAAATGTTGAAAAATTATTAAAGAAGAATGATTAGAAATTATTTGACTTATATGATAAAAAAATTATTCAATTTGGATGATAAAAATTTACATCAAAAAGTTTGAAAGATATTAATTAACTTTAGTATATATATTATATAATATTATATAATATTATATAATAAAGTAACATTAAAATATATTATTAAACTACATTATATATTGAATTTATTACTATTATTAAAATATACATTACATATTAATGTATTATTCAATACTATTTATTAACAAAAAAATCTATATATTTAAAATGTAAACGATTATAAAGTATTACATTTAAATTACTCTATAAATTAATTATTAAATTGTAAAATATTACATAAATGTTTAAAAAATTTTATTTTTCAGTAAATTAAGTTTAAGTCTTATAATTAGTTATACAAATTTCTAATTTTAAAAATTTGTATAATGTCATATAATTTGCAAAATTTATATTTTTGTAATAAATCCGTTATTGTTAAAATCATTAATGATTAATTAGTAATACAGAAGTATAATCTGCCATTTATATAAATAATTAGTATATTATTATTATTATAAATATTTTAAAAAAGTATTTAAATATCAAATATATTAATTTATATAGAATGCTAGTAATTAAAATATTAAAATATATCTTCTTTATATACAATATGTTTCAATTTCATTATTTGTATAATTAATTCTAAAAGAAAGTTTTTATATATTAAAATATTAAAACTTTGTTATTACAAATTCTTATTTATTACTATAAATTTAATTTTTAAAATATTTTGTTTTTTTATTAATTAAAATAAAATTTAATTTTTTTTTAATCATAAATAATTTACCTTTATTAGCATTTTTTAATTTATATAAATCTTTAAAAGTATAATATTTACTTAATTTACTAACTAATAGATTAATAAAAGATGAACTAATAATTGATTATATATTATTCAAAATAATATCAGTTTCTTTATATTTTGATTTGAATTATACAAATCTATTATTTGTTCAATTTTATTATAAAGAAAACTAATATTAGGTTTTTTTAATGGATTAGCATCATTAGCATCCCAATATTGTTTCATTAAATTTTATATTCTAAAAGGTATTTTTAATATTATTTTTGGTCATTGTAAGATTATAATTATAATCAAAATTGGTAAAAGGTGGTTGTTTAGATGAAACTTCCCATATAATTATACCAATACTATAAATATCTGATGCAAAAGTATATTTTTTTCTAAATATAACTTCAGGTGTTATGTAAGGAAGAATATCATAAATGCATTCTAATGGTTTATTAGCAGGCTCACAAAATCCAAAATCACAAATACGTGAAGAATCGTTTGTTGTAAATATTTTTTAAGTCCATTTTGTAAAAATACATTACAAAGATATAATTTTTTATTTTGAAGATGTTGAGTAAGTCCACAACTACAGCTAAAATTATTCCATTTACTATTTAATATTAATTGAGTATCAGCCTATAAAATGGGATTTCAATTAATTAGTTACTAGTTTGAGATCGTCCGGAATTGAACTAAAAGAAATAAAAGAAATAAAAGATAAAGAAAACCCATGCCGATCATTACATCATCACATGTATGACATTATTTGATTTTCAAAACTGGTATTTAATGAACCGCGTCCAAAAATACCCAAATTTCCCACGTATTTCTTTAGAAAAAAAAACCAATGGATACAGATAATTTTTTACCAAAGTTAACCCAAAACTTCCTAGAAATTTTGGAAGATGATGAATATTATGATATTACTATTGAAGTTGGTAATGACCCTCATGTGCAAATATTTCGAGCTCATATGAATATTTTATTTTATCGCTCAACTTATTTTCAAAAAGTTTTGTCGAATAATAAAAAGAAGGATGATGAAAGTTTGGTACATATTAAATTACCAAACTTTTCACCTGAAAATTTTCAAATCATTTTAAGGTAAATTGTAATAAAGTTAATTAAATATTTTGTTGATTTTTTTTAATTCCACAAATATATAATTTCTTATCTCTAGATACATTTATGGCGGAAGACTTCCTTTGATTGATTTTAATGATTCGAAGATTGTTAAAATCTTGGTCGTTGCCAACGAATTAGGTCTTCAGGAAGTTTCTAGCTATTTACAATCTATTTTGATTCAAAACAAGGAAAATTGGTCGGATGAAAATTTAAATCTGATATATCAAACAAGTTTAGAAAGTGATACTTACCTTGAACTTCAAAATGTCTGTACAGAATTGATTTCAAAAAATCCAGCAAAGTTCTTTGTATCACCTTCAATTCAAAAAAAGCTTTGGTCTCACTGATCCAGAATGATAACCTCAAAATGAGTGCAACTAAAGTTTGGGATTATGTGTTTAAATGGGGACTTGCTCAGAATCCCGGGCTTTCTTTGGATCCTTCTAGCTATTCACAAGATGATTTCAATAGCTTGTAAGTTTCTTTGCAAGAATGTATTCCTCTGATTAAATTCCTGGAATTAACTTCTAAAGAATTTTGGAAAATGTTTATCCGTATAAAAGCATTATACCCGAAGAATTGTTCGATAAATCAATTAAATATTTGATGGACGAATCAAATAGAATAGTAAATTTCGAATCAAGTATCCTTACATTTAACCATGCAGAATTAATCTCAAAATGGATCGATAAATTAGAAATTACGAAATAACTGCTACATATGACTTCAAATTATTAGCTCGTTTACGAGGTGCGCTTTCAGGTCAATTATTTCATGGAGTTTGTGGTGATAAGTTTCCGACTGTCTCGATAATTAAAGTGAAAGGAAGCGACAAAATTCTTGGAGGTTATAATCCAATCACATGGGTTTCTGGTATAATTTTCTTTTATGGCGCAACTAAGGATAGCTTTATAATCTCATTTAAAGATAAGAATGATATTAACAATCATATTTTAAGCCGAGTAAAGAATGAACAACGTTCTATATATAATCATTTTAATTGCGGTCCTGGATTTGGCTATTCGGATCTTATGATTAGTCCTGTTTATGGTAATAAATGTAGTATAATGTCTGATTATGATAAGCCGATTAGAGAAACTAACGATAGCTTTGAAGTAGAGATTGTGAAATATTTTTGCTCACAAAAAAGTGATGCAGATTGTTACTGCGAATACATGTGTAAAAGCAAATATAGAGTTACTACTATTTTTATCAAAAATTTGTCTGGTTTTATTTTCTTATTAGTTAATAAACTTTGGTACGTGATACAAAAATTTTAAGAAATTTTGATAAATGAGAAATTAAAAATTGTTTGACGACCACTCCTTCCTTGTCTATGTTTGTAATGAAATTTAAAATTATGAATAAATTCTACCTTCGTTTTAGAACACGTCTAGCTTTATGAATCTGGATCAAATAATTGAAGTCTAGCCATAAATGACAAGAATCGTCTATAAAATATGAATTATCAAACGTTAAGAAATAGGTAAATAGTTTATTTCCACCAAATTACTTACTCGTTCTCAAACTTTGAGGCAAGTTATTTATTAAAAGGTTTAATATATCCATAATTTCTATTCAAGGTATGTATGCTCGCTCTTTTACGTCAAATTCCTAAGAAATTAAACAACAAATATCGTTACAATACAATCCAAGATAATAATTATGATATTAAAACTCTTAAGATTAATCTACCCATGAAAAATATAATATGATGTTTAATAGAGGCTTGCATAAGTCTAAAATTCGAAGCATCCTGGGCCTCTAATGTTTAATTAATCTTTTTTTTTTTTAATAAAAGTAAGAAAGAATTATAGTATTAATGTACTCAAAGTTATCGAAGCTTTCAAGCTGCGTTATCTTCGAATTTGGTAGCCTTTACACATAGATGATTAAATTAATGTAATATTTTTGCATAACGATAAAGCGCTATAGACCTTATGCCAAGCACATTAGCATTTCGGTCCACGTCATCCGGCTTTAAAATTTTTAACCAAAAAAAGTTTTATGTGTAATTATTTCATTTCGTAACTTGTATTATTAAATGTAAGCAAAAGGGATTTTATTAATAAGCATTTGAATAATTATGATGGATGTTATTAACACAAATTAATTAAACTACGCAAAATAATAATTGGAACAATAAAAAATAAATAAAAATTAAAAAACGAAGTTGCAGCATAAAAATTATGAAGCTATGATTATCGTAAAGGTAAATATTAATTAGAACAACTTGGCATACTAACGATATGGTATCCTAACAATATGGTCGAAATTGAACTACAAAGGCGAAAATTATGATTTTTTTCGGGTGGAATTATATCAATGTAACAATACGAATTTTATGGTATTAATTAAATCCGTCTCGTCATTTCTTGGTTTACTTGATCTTTTATATTGCTTTCTTTCGTATTGTTATAATTCCGCCCGAAAGCATCATAATTTCGTTTGTTTTGATATTTGCAGTTATCCTTTGTAACTAATTTGACATGTTGGATGCCAGGTTGTTAGGATGACAGGATGGTAGGATGTCGGGCCGTCCTAATTATTTTATTTTTATAAATATGAATTAGAAATCCTTAAACAACTGAACTTGCCCTTCTTATATTGCATATATACACCTTAAACCTTCCTTCCTCCTTTACAATATATTCGCTTTCGCCGTTGACATTATAATTAGTCCGGAGCGTAGCGAAGGACTATTATGGTTTAGGCTCGGTGACACAAAATGTCGTTCTGTCCGCCCGCTTGACCTATGAGTCGATGACGTTTAGTTACTGTGTTTGTCAGTGTTGCTCGTGATCATTTCCCAAATCTTATCAAATTTATTTAAAAACTTTTTGCATTAAAAAAAAAATTTTTCGGCTTTATATTTTTTTTTTATTTGTATTGCCATTTTTTCTGAGAAATGTGAATTAAAATAATATTTGATGCTTTGTTCCTATTTTTTTTAACGCTTCGTACTGTTATGTTAAATTGTGTCTTTTTCCGGTATTAATGAAACTAGTCGTCCTTCTTCGAGCTTCCTTTCTTGTAACCTTCGCAAGTTCTTTATACGAAGCAACCTTTCGAACGTGAACTGTTTGAAGGAGGTATCGTTTAGTGAACGGACGCGTGATATTGCGACGAAAGAAAGTCCCGCCGCGAACTCTTTGCTTCCAAGATCGATTTTGGTCTTTTCTAATGTTAGTCCTTGGCTTTTGTGCACAGTAATCGCCCAGGCAAGACGTAAGGGAACCTGCAGACGTGAACACTGCATCCCGTTCTTACCTTCCCATGACCTTTTGATAGGCACGATAGGTACAACTTTGACGCCTTCTAGGTTCGTGATTGTGGGTCCTTCATACTTCACGAATGTGACGAATACTGCTACTGGAAGAGAAGGTGGCCCCCGTTCTTTGAATATGATGTCTTGTATGATTCCCATTGAGCCATTTACCAATCCGCCTTCCGTCCATACGTTTGCTGTTAACATGATACGTGCACCTTTTGCCAACAGTAATTGTGCTTCAAGACCTTTTGCCGCTTCTGAGTTGGCTTGTTTAGCTTCAACTCCTCCGCTGTGTACACCTACAATCTTGGCAACTGGTCGCTGCAATGATCTGAAGCGAATATCCCCAGAATATTTTCTCCACATCTCCACCACATCCCCGCGCCTTTCACGCTCCGGACTTCACAACGGCCCTCGCCGTTCCCTAGTTTTAATTTGTAACTTCGTTCATTTAAAAAACCCGATTTTCCTTATTATTTTATTTATATTTTGTAATTGCACAGTTTTAATTTATTATTATTGTCAGTGATTAGCATTTATTTAGTTTAATAAATTGACATTGCGAAAGTGTAGAGCGCCGACGTTGAGGCAACAGATTAATTGAAATTATTAAATTTGTCGTCATTTTTACTCAATAAAAGCCTTCCTCTTACAATAGAAAATTGTATATAAATAAATAACGCAAGAACTGAATACCAACAGTGGCCCTTTCAAATTGACTTTATTAGTGTAGATTTTAGTATTGTAGGTAAAGAAAAATATCGTGATCGATGTGGCTGGTATATCAGAATTCGAAAACTTTCCGTAGCGCAATTAACTTATTATTCCTGTTCAATACTATTCCGATACAATTTTTATGATATTATTTTAACCAAGTAGAAAATCTTTTGTTTCAATATTTTAATCAATCATGTCGATTAGCATGTTTATTTCATTCGGAACATTTGGACAATCGGATCAGATCAAGATGGAATAGAGTTGAACAAGGCTAGCATCTTCTCAGTTTTACATCCAACTGATACATTACAGTATGGAAAATGCTCACCATCTTAAAACCCAACTAATCACATCGTTAGTATTTACATATAAATTTTTTTATTAATAAAAACAATGAACCCCAGGTCTCCGGATCAATTTAAAATTTTAATGAAAAGCGAACAATAGTTACATGTATGTTAAGTAGCAGGTTTTCATGTAGTTATATCTCAAAGCTGAATAAAAGAAAAATTTCTGAGACATGAAATTTAAATAAATTAAACCATTGAATATATGAGTAACAAAATAAATAATCATACGACAAACCAAATTCTATCAATAAAACGCCGATTAGGCTAGTAACAAAAATTTTATTAAAAATTATATAAATGGATATTAACTTGATAATATACTAATCTAAAATCGTGGGACCCATTGAAAATAACTATGGTCTGAGATCTTCTTTAAGTTTGATATGGTGTGTTTCTTCTGTTTCCCAAAAAGCTTGGTAAGGATCGAATTGAATTCTTTCTTCTTGATTAACCATGGAATTGATTGCTCTATCGACGATTTCTTCATAGTTTGAATGGCCACTGAAATTTTTTTTCTCGTGTATTATATAAACTAAATATTCTATTATTTTGTTTCCGTAGTCATTATCTTCATAGTGTCCGCTATCAACCAAGAACATATTGTTCTGAAATGATCATAAATGCTTTATTTAATAAAAAATACCTAGCGTAGTATTTCCATCAGTACTCTTTGTTTTTCTTTCCCGATGGATGTAATGTATTCATCTCGTTAAGGGTCAATCATTGAGACATGTTCAAGTTCATTATAAAAATCTCTGAGGGTTGTCTCATTTATTTTTCTTCTCGATTGTTGATTACTTTGGTTGGCCATCTTCTCAACGTCCTTAATAGAATATGCTTTCATCCCTGATTTTTAATTGTTTTTTAATGATATTTTCTCTGATATGGAGATTTTATTTCCTTTTAGAACTACTCGTGCTATACTTTGACGTCGTCCTTTTCCTTTTCCTTGTTGCTGATTTCTTGGGTGGTATTTGTTTATCCTCTCAAATTTCATATCCCAAAAGGGAGACGCTGCTTGAGGTTGAGTGATTTCCTTTTTCTTTAGGGCTGTACTGCACGTTGATAAATGTTCCGAGCCGTCCATTTCTTTTCCCTTTTGATGTTGAAGAGTATTAACTAATTGAATAGCCGGAGATGATTGCTTATTATTTGCCATTACTTTATTGTTAAATAACTCTATTCGTTTTGCTTTTCCAAAAGTTTTGTCGATACAAACGATTCTTTGTGAGCTAGTACCGGAAACTTCTTTATGGGGAATTGTTGGCTGGTATGGAAACGAGGTAATACCTCGAGCCTCCCGTTGTTCCGCCTTCGTAACTTTCAACGGTCGAGAGGTGGTATCGCGATTTACAAATGCATTCCATAAATCATAATCTATCCATAAGTTAGGAACTGCGGATAGAATGATATACCATCCTAGAAATAATACCGCCCATTCTAGGTATGTCGTGTCCAGCCTTCTTGGTTGAAAATTTCTAATGTCATTATACCAATATGTTTCGTTTGGAATAATGCCAGAAAATACGTTGTCGTTATTAAGTGATAAAAAAATTTGACTCATTTTGTTTGGAATTGAGTTAAGGTTGATGTTGTATTGATCTCAGATCTTATTTCAGTAATCTTATAAGAAACTAACCTACCAATCAAGTTTCAGTTTAATGAGTTTGTGTCTACGATAACACATGAAAATGTGCGATCTTTGAAATATGACAGTGCCCGAGTAAAAAAAATTAATTCTTTATATAACTCGTATGTATAAAAGTAGGCATAAGTAAATGCCAAGCCCTTAAATTTTCTATAATTGCTTGGGATACCAGTTGAATTTTTTAATAAAAGAACAGGGATTGAAAAATCTTTTACTTGTTTGTTCATTGACTGCAAACAACGGTTCCGCAGGCAATTTTCTACCATTTAATGATATAGACTTATTAGATACTTTTATATATACTTTATTTTATATTTCAATTAAATTAATAAAAATTTGAAGGATTTGCCAATATAAAAAATACTAATAAAATAAAAACATTACTTTACATAAAAAGCTTATAATAAAAGCTTGATATAATTATATAATTTATTATTACTTTCCTTTTATCTTTTATTATTATATATTCTATACAGTTCTATTTACAAAATGTTAGACTTTAAAGATTGATATCAACAAAGTTTATTAAAGAAAAGTAAGATTTAATTTAATTGCAACAGTTATTAGCAAGAAATTTAAATATAAATAAATCAAGATCTATTATTTATATCTGAAAATATTTAAAAATCTAATCTTATGTAAAAAATATATAAATTTATACAATTTGTATATATCTATATTAAAGTATAACCTTTATATAATGTTATATAATAATGTAAAACTTTTACAATCTTATATATAATTATAAAATTATATTTTGAAAAAATTTATGCTAAAAAACTATTTAAATAAATTAAAACAAGGATTTTAATAAATTATATTTATAACTTATTTATATTTATAACATTATTATAAAAATTTTTATAAAATTAATTTTTACTTAAAATATTAAAGATTTAATATAAATTATCTATTTATATATTTATATTTTAATTAAGAATATTTAAATACTAAATATTTATAATATAATAAGTTTTTATTTATTAATAAATTTCTTTTATTTTTAATTTATATGAGATTTTAATTATATTAATATAAATAGTATATAATATATTACTTTTTTTAAAAAAAAATGTGTTTTATGTTATTATCTCCTAAAATAAACTTGCTTGCAATTTTATTTTATTTATTAGTTTAAATATTTTAAAATAATTTATTTAAAAATTAACTTTATTTAATATTTATTTCTATTTTTAATTAGTTTAAATATTTTAAAATAATTTATTAAAAATTTAATACTTTTATAATAAATTTTATAATGAATACTAAATAAAATTTAAAAATTAAATTAATAAAAAATTGAATTAATTAATAATTTTTAAAGATAAATATATAATAAATTATTATTAAAAACATTAAATATTTAAACTTATATAACTTGTTATCTAATAATATAAAAAATATTAAACTAATTTTAATTTTTAATAATTATCAGATAATAAATTATTTTAGAAATTAAAAAAAACTAAAAAATTAATATATATTAATATATTAATAATTATTAATTTTAAAAATTTTAAAAATATTACTATTTTTATATCATAAATATAATAAATCATATTTATCTTTTTATAATTATTAGATATTAAAATTATAAATTTCTAAAATATTTTAATTAAACTATTAATATTTTTAATATTTTAAAAATATTTAATAAAATTCATAAAAATCAATTTTTTGATTTTAAATTAATTAAATAATAAATATTTATTTATTTATTAAAATATCAATCTAATTTAATTGAATTATAATTTTAAAAATTAATATTAAATTATTTATAAAACTAAAAATATTAATATTTTAAAAATTTATTAAAATTGAAAATTATATTATTTATAAAATATAAAGATAAATTAATAGTATTATTTAAAAAAAAAAAATTACATAAATTAAGGAATAATTAATAAATTTTATAATTTTTATATATAAAATAATTATATAATTTGAATAATAATCCTAATAATGCATTTTATTATTATTTGTAAATAAGAATTGTAATTATTTTATATTATTATTCAAAGTAATAATTCCAATTATTTTATTAGAATAATAATTATTATTATCCCTTAAACTGTAAGTATAAAATTGGTCATAAAATATTTTAAAAACTTAAAATATTTTAATATCTAATGATTATAAAAATATAAAATAAAATTTTTAGAATTTATCATATGATATATCTAATAGTAATATTTTTAAATTTTTAAAATTCATAATTATCAATATATATTAATTTTTAAAATAATTTATTACTTAATAATTACAATAATTTAAAATTTAGTGTATTGGATTCACTACATTAAAATTTATTAAATGGTAATATTTTATATTTCTGAGATTAATAGATAGTAAGATATATAATTTAAAATTTATTTATTTATCTTTAAAAAATCACTAGTTTAATTACATTTTTTTTTAAATTTTTACTTAAAAAACATTATAAAATTTATAATAAAAGTATTAATTTTTTAATAATATATTTTAAAATATTTAAAAATAATTAAAAATGATTTGTAATTAATAAATAAAATTGCCTACAAATTTGTAGACATAATAATTAAAGGGATATGTTTTTAATTATTTAAATAAGATTTAAAACTATTATGATTTTTATATTTATAAGAATATATCTGCAATTAATGCAATATTAACAATTTTACTAATTTCTTAATATTATTCTTTAATTGAATTAATTCTTTTTAATTTTCTTTTCAATATGTTATTAAAAGAAATCTGTTGAAAATTATCTTATATTAGATCAAAAATAAAGATTCTATATTCTATTTGAGTAAGTATTAATCTTAATGATGAATGATCTTTAAATCCAACCAAGATAAGTTAGCAATTACACTAGAAAATTAGAAAAGTATTTCTGAAAGTCATTTCTTGGATTCATCTTTCACTATATTGATGTGTATAATAATGAGGTCCCTTCAAAAATATATAATCTGAATTTGTATGCATACTATGTGTAGCGCCAATCCAAGTTACAATGTCTTAAAACATTTCGCCCAGTGGTACCTTTCTGCTGCTTGTCTTTTCCATTCAGCTGGTTTGCTAAAAAAGCTATTGAATCACGTAATAATTTATTCGGTGAAAGGATAGCAACCTTCAAATTATCTTACGATTAGTTCAGTAAACCTTGTTTGTAAACTAAAAAAAATGAAGATATAATAATTAAATAATGATTAATTAGTTATAACATTTCATTATATAGGAAAATTATCTCTCTCACCTATACGTTCTGTTACGATTACTATTTTCAAAGCAGATTGATCACCATCCACTATTTTGATATTAAGATCTAACATACGACTAGCTAGATAATAAACGATCAAGCGAATCTCGATGTGATTCTGCATTCTCCTGGATTACCTTTGCTAAACAGCGAATTTCTGAGCGCGGTTCTGTTTTTATGGTTGAGATTATCATTATTAAAATTATGAATACAAGTTACAACAAAACTATTGAGTCATTGACAATCATTTGAATACTATCCATTATTGATGTAGATGAACTCGTAAATGTTTTATCATTCCAAGTTCTACTTTCTTTATACAGCTTTAAATTCAATCACAAAGATTGATCTGCCTACATAAACAACTTGTGAATCTTTAGTACTATTATTTTCAATTAAGAATTTAGCACTAGCGGTGTCTTCGACTTATATACTAGACAAATCATTCTTAGTTTCATTGGAACCATTAGATTATGTAGAAATTAGCCCCATTCATACCAAGACGAATTCGAGAAAACTATAATCTTGACGGAAGTGGTCCCCCTCTACCATTACCATTTGTAATGTCACCTCTATGGGAATGTGACTGAAGCATGATGAAACTAGGTTATGCTGCTAATAAAGAAGGTGGGTGCTTTGTAGGTAATTTCGATTCATTAGAATTTCTGTGGCTAATGGATTTTCTAATGTTGCAGCTGGTTTATCAATTGTTGAATTAGCGGTGATCTAAGAATTTGTCCTTTTTACTATATGTCTTTAACTAGCCTATGCTTGCTTTTCTAACTTCATCATTTCGAACTTATATTTGAGTGACAATTCTGCATTCTTTTAATTTAGACATTCAAAAGGCCAACTAAATAGATTTTTTTAATAAAAGATTATCTATTGCAAGACTTGTTGAAATAGAACTAATTAAAGGAGGAGACCACAAAGCATGCTTGTCATATAGCTTCGTAGCAAGCTTGGCAGTAATCATTTGCAAGAACTTGATCAAGTACATTCTTTCGAACTTTCTATTCACCATCGTTGTATTCCTAATAATATATTATTATAATTTCAGCTTTTAACATTAAGCAAGGATAATATATTTATTCACCAATTAAAGAAACTTACGACATCATTACTAGTAAACTATGCACTGATATCAACTTTAGGAAATAATTCTTCTGTAGTATTTTTTCCACTATCATCGTTACTTATAACTTCGACCTTTTTTTTAAATGTATAAAGAATAGGATAAATCAAAAAATCAATATTTAAGTTAAATATAAAAATGATTCTAGGTTTAATGATACAATCGCTTGTTTAATTGGTTTTGGAAGTGCCTTATCAGCCACTTTCAAATTCATTGTCAGTTGTTTAAGTTGAGTAGGGATTTAAGTCTTTAACAAATGTTATTATATCTACAACAAAATTAAATTATTATAAGGATGATTATTTTAACAACCTTTTTTTTTACCTAATCTTACAAAAACGAACAAGGCTCCCAAAACAGTGACAGAATTTGTGCGAACAGCCGCATTAGGACTGCTTAATGTGAAATTAAGAAATTCAATCAATTCGCGCACTTGAAGAACTGCTATTCCAAACTCCATGATAGCATATTAAACTATCAGTTAATGTCCTGGGTGCTTTTTCTTCATGCAATGGGTCACATGCTATAATTTTATATTTTTTATTAGTATTATAAATATTTTTTAATTTAGACAACATAACAAGTAATATACCAATTGTTTCGGAATAAGCCGTAAATGCGTCTTCTACAAGTTCCTTTAATTCAAGTCATTAACTTTTCTATCAATGCTACAGTAACAATCTTATAAATACGATATTATTTTTTTATGAAAAGTAAGTAAAATAAAAAAACGCATTTTACTTGGTATTGATAATGCTGCCGTTAGTTTTTCACCTTTCGATAAAGTATCTCCATTATATTAAAAAAGTCTAAATTGAAAACTTAGGTTTACACATAACACAACTCATTATAATATAAATGTTCTTTCACATCCAGGTTTAACATGATAGACGGATCCAGCTTCTCATTGGCTAATATGAAAATAAAGAGTAAAAATTTGCATAATTACAAGTTACTAAAATAACTCACCCTCAAAACGCAATTTCTAATTCTTTTACTCAATCGGCAGTCTGATCTTCGGAAATCAATTCAGCAAACTTGACATTTCTTTCTCTCCTTTCCACTCTTCTTTGAAAGGTGGAGCAACAAGTTTAGTAGAAGCATTTTTTGGAAGACTTCCTGGCTTTGTTGCTGGGGCGGATTTTCCACAGGAGTTGTCTGTCGTCTTAGATGCTTATCCCTTCAAAAGGAAAAATAAAGTTGAACTATTCTATAACAATCTAAGAAAGATTAAATTAATTACTCCGAAAATTTGACGTACAGCTTCTTTTTTTGTAACAGGTGCATTTGCTTGGATGTTTGTTCGCATCAGAAATATTCAGTTTAACTTCGGCCTTTTCATAACATTTTTTGACGTTCCCTTTTTATATCGTCAAGCCCTTCCAAGTAAGTGTTCATCGTCTTCTCACCAATGACTTTCATCCTTGTTCCAATCCTTCAAAAGCTGAATTAAGGATGGTTTCAAATTTGTCATCATTATTTTAGTTGAAGATTTTATTTTAGCATTTCGATATTCGCTATAATTTAAAGAATAACATAATTAAACTTTATCATTACATGATCTTAATCATTTTACAAAATATTCTCACACCTTTTGCAATAACTGCAGATAAAATCAGAATAATAGTTATCCATAATCCTCGAAGTCTTAGAGCTCCTTTTCTTTCCTTCCATTTGGTAGAACCCTAAAGGAAATTATATGACGTTATTTCAAGAAACTACAATTAAAATTGATATCATAAAATATATATTACCAATCCAGTATAGAATTCTTTGATACATGTTATTAGTAGACCAGTCGATGTTCTGTAAAAAAATTGTTCAGTATCTTTTCTTCTGCAGCGGCTTCATCACCAAAACATAAATTTCAAAATTTTAAAATAGATAAAATCTAACCAAAAGTTTCATAATAATGCATAACACTACCTCCACCAACTACCGCCGCTGCCTTTTCTTCAGCAACTTGTGAACGTAATAATCGTCCATTACGAGATTTTCTTGTGGTCATTTTCAAATTCTTATTTTAATTTTTTGATATAAAATATATAAATATCAATGAAACCTTTAGTTCGGGAAATTGGATTCGGAAAATGTATATTCAGAAGTCCTACTGTAACCTAGCCCAGTAGTAATGGTCAGCCAATATAAGCTTGCCTAGAAGCTGTCACTAGTATTCGATCAACCAGACTTGCCTACAAACTGACAATTAGCAGAGTATCTTGCAATAAATTACATTTCATTATTGCATGTGCGCCCAGACTCCAAAAATTACTGCTGCACTTTGATGGTACATCTAACATTTCAGATATTTTGGACCTATGCCATAGTCTTCCTTTCAATCATAAGTATTTGATCTAGGCCATACAGCCCTAAATAAATGATCCTTTTAAGAAAGTATTAGAC